AGTATTATTGCAGAACAGAGGCCAACCTGGTCTACAGAGCAAGATCCAGGACAGCCAGGGCTACACAGAAAAACACTGTCTCAAAAACAAACAAACAAAAAACCCCAAAACAATTAAAAAAGACACTGACACGGAAATAATTTTTAAATAACGTGAACAACAATTCTCTCTGAACATGCCTAGTTAGTTTGGCAGGGGCATTACTGATGACTCTTGAGAAAGACCTTTGTATATGATCTGAAGCTTCTGGAAGCTTGCATATAATATTTCTTAAACAAGGAGAAATTCTTTCATTTATGTCTTTCATAAAATTTGCCCACCCTTTTCTTTTTCGTATCTTCTCAAAGCTTTTCAAAACCTGGTCACTCCATGAGAGTGCCTCTTTGTGGGTAAAAAATGGTTTGGCACGATTTCATGTGGCTCAGCTTACCGTCTAGCCACCCTACACCATAGCATACAGCAGAGAGCAGCCATTTCATCTGAACTTAGATTTTCATATAATGTGTAATGTGCACTGAGACCATGTGTGCGTTATTGTAGGTGACACAGTGAACACATCAGTCAAGCCCCTGCTTTCTGGCTACTGCAGTCCGGCTGGAAGGGGCAATGCTTTTTTGAAAGCTAATTGTACTTGCAAGTGAGGAATGGCTGGGAAACCTAACTATGTGAAGTTCAGCCAGGGTAGTGGTGCATACCTGTAATTCCAGTCCTCTGGAGGTGGAGGCAGGAGGATCAGGAGTTAAGGTCTTCCTGAGCTTTGCTGGGAGTTGGAGTTAAGGCCACAGGAATCTTAAAACAGCAGAAAAATAGAACAAGGTGTAAGCACACTGCTTTGGGGCCACTGGACAGCATGACCCTGAGTGTGTCTACTTCCTTTTCTGGGTGTGGATGGTGCTACCAGGAACCAGCCAAGACTTTGGTTCTCTGGGTTATGTTAGGCTTGGTGAAACTGGTGTGGGCAAGGATCAAATGCCCTAGAACAGATGACAGCCAATATTTGGGGCTCTCCAGTGAATTGTTTTATATTGCTTTCTGATCAAACAACTCACTCTTAACTCCCTCCCCACACTCCCCACCCTCCAAGCATCTTCTCGCTTTCATGTCTTTTTGTTTCTCTTTTCCCATCCACTGAACTTAACTGGCACTATCTCAGTGAGCACGGATGAAGTTGAATCCAAATTAGAATCAAGACTGACATCAAAATCTCCTTTACTCTCTATATCCTGATATTTGGCTCCACTATTCAGGGTAATATATATATATCTTAAAGATGTCATACCGCAGTGCTGATCTGACCAAAATCTAATAGTACTGATGAGACCCAATATAAATAAGGTGTAATTTCACCAGTCAGGTTTTTGTTTAACCAGTATTCATTGGTAGGTTACCACTAAAGTACAAACCAAATGGTTTTATTCTCCTAATGAGGATACTATGGTAGCTCAGGTACCCATGAAGAACACATCATCCCTTGATTTGATCTGCCATCCCCCCAAGCTCCTGGGACATCAGTGCTGGTACCACCTCTCCAGGCTCAAGCGGCACTTATCCAGCAACTGGGACCTGGTTTTCCAAGATGCCCCAATGAAGGACACATCTGCACTTGTGTCTTGGTCATTTACCTTTGTCATTCACCCTTGCCTCTTACATATAACCAGGCCACATCTCTGTTCCATTCTTGATGACAATCTCCACTCCTCCCATGGCTAGCCCTGCTCGTAGGGCCGGTGTTACTAATCTATTTTTCTTCTAGCAATTTGCCTTCTCAGCTTCTGCAAGGAACAGATGCATGAGGTCTCCAGGATAGCAGCTAACTGAATGCTTCTTCACCCATAACCTCCCACTGAGTGTGAGCCCCTTGACTCCCAGACTCCTCAACATCCTCTGGGATGTTGAACTGGAAGCTCTGTATCCGTTTCAGCCTCACTCTCCCAGTGACCTTGCCCCTCAGAAAGCCCACCAAGGGTCAGCTCCTGCCCCAGAGCTGTTCAAGATCACCCCTACAGGGTTTTTAAGACCTGGTCACTAGATCTGCCAAGAGCTCTCTCTCTCCTGCCTTCTCAAGAATCACCAGGGAGTTGCTTCACTCTGCTTTGCTCTGTTTATTAAATCTGGGATTAATTGTTAGATTTGACTTATTGCATCAACGGAGGATATCCAGTAACTGTGGATCCAATACTTACCACATAGCGAAAGTGAACTTCGTGGCCAGGTTTGAATTTAGAAGTGTGAAGTATTCTTGCAAAAATAAAAGCAAACCTCCCCAGTCTAGTCTGTAAAACTGGCAGCTTTAGGAACAAGTTAAAATAACTATGAAGGTAATGTCAGCAGACTCACAAAGTAGGCAGTTCTCAAGGCAAGACTAGTTTCTTCAACATACGGTGCCAAACAAAGTGGGGGAAAGTGTAGAGGAATATTTGCTTCCACTCTGTGAAGATGTGTCACTGTGGTTGGTTTAATAAAGAGCTGAGTGGCCAATGCTAGGCAGGAGAGACAGGTGGGATTTCTGGGGAGAGAGGAAGAGGAGGAGGAGTCTAGGCAGACAGATTATGCCTGGTAGGTGAGACTCTGAAGAGGTCTGACATGGTACAGAGCGAGGTAACTGAACTACGTGGCAGAATGCAGATTAATAGAAGCAGGCTAATTTGAGTTATAAGAGCCAGTTGGGGACAAGCCTAAAACTAAAGGCCAAACTTTCAAAATTTGTAAGCCTCCGTGTTGTTATTTGGGGACTGGAGATTCAAAGATTCAAAGTCTGACAAGAAAAATTGCTACAGAAAAGGGATTGCCATGTGAACTAAACACAGTGTGTTAATCTTATTTGTATCTTCATTTTCACAAGCCAACTCGAGGTGGACATTTTATTTTTAGTATTTATGTGTATGTGTGCACACTAGTTTGAGTTTGTGTGCCCCACATGTGTGCAGAATCATTTGTAGCAGAAGAGGACTTCTGATCCCCTGGAACTGGAGTTATAGATGGTTGTGAGCTTCCATGTGGCTCCTGGGAACTGAACCCGGGTCCTCTGTGAGATCAAGTGCCTTAATTGTTGGGCCATCTCTACTTCTAGACAGGCATTTTTAAGACTGAAAAATTGAATGTGGAACTGATAGATATTAGGTAATATTAAGGAATTACTGACTTTGCTAGGTGTATATGGTATTTTCAAAATAGGCTTTGTTTAGATAAATGAAATACTATGTCTGAGTGTAAGACTGGAAAAAACAGAAAAGGTATTGGGAGGGAAGATAGATGGAACAGGAGTGGCAGATGGTTGAAGCTGGGATGGTGGCAACATGGGGATTCACCACATTGCCTCTTACATTTGTTAAAATAAACGTGAAAGTGTTGCTTTGTGCACAGCGTAAGTTTTTCTAGGTGGGAAATCCTAAAAAAGCATGCAGACAAAGTATGACAAGAATGGAATCCAGCAAGGGGTTTGGACACAGGAGTGTGGTACCAAAGTCAATTGTGTTACTATGTCTAGTGTTGCTACATCTAAGATACCAAACAACAGAGAAAGAATGAAAACCAAACTATAAACTCTGAAGAGGAAAACCTCAACAATCTCAGGATAGGCACAGATTTCTTAAAATACAAGTGGCAGAGACCCAACAAGCGACTGACATTCACTACACTGAACAGAGAGCCGCCCCTCCCCTAACAAAGATAAAGACAAGTGCCAAGCCAGGAGAAGACATTCACAACACACACAGTAAATGAACAAAGGAGGCTGTCTATCTAAAGATCTGCATATCGCTGGGAGAAAGGAATCCAGGAACACACTTTGTCAAACCGAGTGGACGGTTCACAGAACAGTGTGTAACGAACGTTGAGTACAGCATTCCTGTGCTGCCAGAGAAGTGTGAACTACAGTCACACTACTCAGAGTGGCACAAATTGTCAGTTTGACCATATCTAGTGTTGGTAAATATGGAAACTGCTCATTTTGCAAGTGACCCAGCAAGACAGGCTTGCAGGGAATGTATTTCATGTACTAGTACACAACTAAAAGACCATCTTAGGTCAATAGAAAAACTGATTACATCTATTCAAGGAAGTGTAGCAGTTAAAATAAGGAGAGAGCCTCAAAGGGTAATACCCAACAATTTGGGGGAACATTTACAGTGTTACACATTTATGTGAACAACCCCTGCCCCCAACACTCAACATATGTATTTACAAACATTTAAACATGGTAAAAGTAAAAATTAAAACAGAGCCGGGTAGTGGCTCACGCCTTTAATCCTAGCACTCAGGAGGCAGAGACATGCGGATCTCTGTGAGTTTGAGGCCAGCCTGGTCTACAGAGCGAGTTCCAGAACAGGTTCCAAAACCCTATCTTAAACAAACAAACAAACAAAACAAAACAAAAAACCCTCAAAATTCCAAACAAACAAAAAACCAAAACCAAAACAAAAAACCCGAAACAAAAAAATTAAAATGGACTAAAAAGATTTCTATAAAATTCTTGATAGGAATTGTCTATTTGGACAGAGGGAAATTAAATTGGGTGTGTAGTGGTATAGTTGGGAGACAGTCCACCTTTCCTGTCTATAAATAAAAAATTTCATATACTCTGAGAAAAATTTATATTTAAGTGAAAAATTTTAATATTTGTTTACTTAATGACAGGTATCCAAATGTTTGTATCGTAATTGCCCAGACTTTCTGAATAAGAGAACTTGATAAAAGTTAAATTTTATAAAAGTTAAAAACTGAAAAGTTGAAGTTCAAGCGTGAACTTCAACTTTCATTAAAGACTATGGTGTTTGGTAGGTAGAGAAATAGAGAAAACTCGATTTTATTTTAGTTTGTATGTCAATGAATTTGAAGCGCCAGAATGAAAGTATTATAAATTTCATGGTAAATAAAGAATGTATCATTCCAATGATGGAAGGAATGGCATTTATTGTATGGGGACTTTAAAACTGTGTGTGTGTGTGTGTGTGTGTGAGCGTGTGTGTGTGAGCGTGTGTGTGTGCGCATTGCACGTGTCTATGCGGGTGCGCTCCGCTCGTAGCCGGACTTCACGAATTCGGAGCGGGCTTCCCCGCATTCCGCAATCGGTAGTAACAGCAGCCACGAGGAGCTCGGAGGATTCTGGGAAGCATTTCTGTTTTGTTTGTAACCATGGGAAAAATTCCACTTGGTCCTAGAGGGATCCGCGTTCATTCACCGATTCGTTTTAAAAGTCACTGGCCACTGAAACTGTGTAAAACTGAAAAAGAAACAATAGTACGTCTTGAAACTATTTTTTTAAACACGTTTACATTTTCAGTTGGAATTCATGATGCGTATGGTTTTCTTCTAAAACTATTTAGAATCTTGAAGTTTTAGTAATAAAAGATTGACAAGTTATTGCGAGTTTTAGAAATTCTTCAGGAGGCAAGTGTGGACATGAGAGTTTATCTTATATATTTTCTTTGTTTAAATTTATTTGAAGGCGGACTTTCCACAAGTATGATCGGTAAGAATGTTTTCCTCCGATTGCCTGGAAAGAATCAGTTCTAACAAACGTGGAAAATCCTTTGTGTTCATCTGTATTTACTGTGTACGTGGAAATTTTTTACAGCGAAAGAAAAGTGTTCACAAAAACAGAATCAGATTTGCTGCCAATTTCTAATTTTGTTCTGAGATATCTACATCGTAGTATCAAGCAAATTAAAGAGCAAACTGCTATGGTCAGGAGACTTTTCAGTTTTAATATTATCAACAAATTTAACCGAAGTAGTTAAATCTGCGTACTCTCTGCCCATTTTTAAAAAAGAAAGAAAGAACGAAAGAAAGAAGAATGACAAAGAAGCTCACAGCGGGACAGAACGTGCTGAAATCGTCCCCAGGGAAACATTTACTCACAGGTCGGCTTGGCTTTAACGCTGACGTCTCCTTAGCTTTTGCTACAAGTGCGGGTGTGCGGTGAGATAGTTTGCCTCCGCTCGGCCACCGTCCGTCAGCCCTCAGCATATTTTGTCCGCCGGCCGCCGCCGTTTCGGATTACTCACCGATCGGAGTTCGGAGGTACGGAGAGGTATCTGTTTCGCGGAAGCTGGCTGGTGTGGCCGGCACCATGGAGTCGCCTTTTAGTCCGGGATTTCCTCACCGACCAGAGGAAGACTGGGGTGAGTGGATCTGCGAATGTACCCGGGCTCGCTCGGGCCCCCGTTGCGGGGGTTTTCCTCCCGGTTTCCGCCCGGCGGCGGTGACAGGTGGGGACGAACCTTGCCCAGGGAGCGAGGCCACGGACTGGGGGCTCGTGGAAGGGCCTGGCAGAACCACTGGGCTTCTGTCCTGGCCGCAGCGACGTGGAAGTGATGTTCGAATCGGGGAAATCGCTGTAGTTTTTCAGCGTGTGTTCCTGGTGGAAATACCAGGTGATCTTGAGGGACCAGAACTCAGCAGGATGACTCTGGCTGCCGCTCCAGGCAATTTTCTCAGACTGTGGGATGTGGTTGGGAGTGAAGTGTGTGTGTGTGTGTGTGTGTGTGTGTACGTGTGTGTGTACGCGCATGTGTGCCCTGCACGTGCGCGTGACATGTTTGAGAAAATATGGTTGAAATACACACAGAGAAGAAAATCCTTATCTCTCCGCTGTCATGGTTGATTTAAGGCATATATCCAAATTGGCAAAGAAGCAAAGGTCCCAAGCACCTGACCCGTGTCCCTGATTACTAGATCTGTCATAAACTGATGTAATCCTGACTGCTGTCCAAACAGCTCTGAAATCTCTTGCTAGATCTTGCTTGGTTTTGGTGTTCAGGAAGGATGTGATGGAGAATTGACACCGGACAAGTGTTGTCATCTGAATCCTTAGAGGAACCTGATATTCCTCTTTTGATTACGGGACAGGGATCCAACATGAAGGTACCTCGGTGGATCCTGTAGTTAGACTGCACCGTTCTTCAGCATTGTAATTTTGGGGTGTTATTTTCCTGGGGCCAGACCAACATTCCACCACACGAGTGGACTCTCAGCTAGAATGTATTGAACATCCTAGTTTAATTTTCCAGTGGCACATGTGTTCTACAATTACGATCTATGAGAGATTTATTTTAAATTATGGAAAAAAAACTGTAGGGGTCCATTCTCCAGTGCGTTTCCCCAACTAAATGTTTTGTTATAGTAACATTAGCCACTTGCTTAGGGCCTTGTTTTTGTCAGCTATCCCACTAAGCACGCTACGTGTGTTATTGGTGGCCACAGCAGTCCAAGGTCCTGCCGTCCTTTAGATGCTGAAATTGGGGCTGACAGAATTTGCACTCAGTCTTAGAGAGGTGTTGAGTGGTAAAAGTAGGATTAGAATTAAGGCCATCTAACTCTGAGGTCTGTGCCTCTGGTTTTTCACTCTGTAACATTTTCCTAGCTTTTTTCTAAAGGTGGATTTTTTTTTTCCTAATGCTTCTTTCTGATTTTAACAAGTCTGCTTCAGTTATAGTTGTGGTTTGTTTTCTCAACCATTTGACCCTCATATTTTCATGGCATTTCTTAAACTGTAACACGAAGCACTTTCTGATAGCATTGTTTTGTCTTGTTTTCTGACTCTCGGCTGCGTTTTCCTAACTCCTAAACTTGATTCTTTAATGGAACACTCAGTTCTCTGTATTCAGTTGACTGACTCCATTCTCAGGTATCCTGCCCCATTTCTCCTTGAGTACGCTCTTTCCCTGTTGTGTTTTAGGTTTCTTTTTTCAGACTGTTGACAATTATCTCTTGGATGAGTACTTTTTTCCCTTAGGTGTTCAGTAGGTAGGAAAGATTTTGCAGGCGTTAGGCACTACTGTCTACTAGGGTTTCTCAATAGAATAATGGATTCTTTGGGAGTTGCTGTTTTGGATGTTTAATTATTTTACTGATGTATTGATGTTTTAAAAATATTTTTAGCAACTGCCTTGTTAAAATTTAAATATTAGATTTTATAATTAGTATTTCTTATGATTAACAGCTTGAACAATTTGAAGGACATTTTCTCAGCACAGGATATGATGGGATGTGCTTTTATTCATTTATTTTCTGAGTGTGATTAATGAACTTTAGAGCCGACATCTGCAGATGTATTTTGGAAAGGTCCACAAGGCAGATGTTTTGGGCATCACTATCATGTGGCCTGGGTTGCAGCTGCTCTGCCGTGGTGAAAAAGCAGCCATAGGCGGTGCAGATAAGTGACTGGCTGTGTTCCCATAAAAGCTTATGGAGACTGAAATTTGCATTTCACATAGATGTATTTCTCTACTTATTTACTTAGAATCTTTTAAAAGCGTGTAGCTCAGGCTGTCCTCATGCTTCGGATATTCCTGCCTTAGCCTTCTGAATGCTGGGATTATAGGCATACAGTACCATACCCGGCTCCCATTATGGCTGTTGTTGTTAGGTCTTTTGAGACAAGGTCTTGCTATACAGCCCAGGGTGGCCTGCAACTTTCATAAGTCTCCTGCCTCTGGCTCCCCAGTTATATCTAGTGTATTACTTAATGTCTTTGTAAATGCAGCTTAGATTTTTAGAGTGATCTTGCTGATAGGACATGTAATTCCATAGATGCCCCCTCTCCTCTCTACAGTTCCCTCTACTGGTATCATCTTACATTACTATGCTGGTCAGTTGGTTGTTTTTGTTTGTTTGTTAATTTGACACAAGCTAGAATTATCCGGGAAGAGAGAATCTCTATTGAGAAAATTCTTCCATTAGATTGTCATTTAGGCAGGTCTGTGGATATTTTTTTCCTTATTAATGATTGATATGGGAGAGCCTAGCCCACTGTGAGTGGTGCCAACCCTCAGCAGGTGGCTTTGGGGTTTTGGGGTGCATAAGAAAGCAGGCTGAGCAAGACAGGGGGAACATCATTCATCTATGACTTTGGCTTCAGTTCCTGTTTCTAGGTTTCTGCCTTGAGTTCCTGCCCTGACTTCCCTTTATGTAGACAGTGATTGGGACATGTAAGCCAAATAAACCCTTTCCTCATCAAGTTGCTTTTGGTCATGGTGTTTCATCACAGCAATGGAAGGCAAACTGAAGCAATTAGTGTGGGACTTTGTTCACATGGATGAACTATGTTGATCAGTTTTTTTCTTTTCTTTCTTTCTTTCTTTCTTTCTTTTCTTTTTTCTTTTTTTTTTTTTTTTTTTGAGACAGGGTCTCCAACTTGGCCTGGAACATTTGATGTAACCCAAGATTGCCTTGCATTCTTAATGCTCTTGTCTCAGCTTTGCAAATACTGGACTTATAGGCATGAGCCACCATGACTGGCTTGGTACGTTAGTATTAAGTGAAGGATGAACATTATAGGTGTTTTGACAAGCACAATGCCATGGGCCATCATTACAGTGTTGTGCAGAGTAGGGTGAGAGCGTCTCTCTTGCGAATTCCCTGTGCTCCATCCACTCATCCATCCTTCCTTCCACCTGAGTTGTCCCACACCCCATAATAGATCTTTTCTGTCTGCACAGTTTTGCTTTTGTTGTATAGTTGGAACCATGCAGTATGGAGCCTTTTCAAATTGGCGTCTTTACTTAGTAGTGTGCACTTGAAGTTCCTCTGTGTCGTTCTGTGCCTCGATGGTCTATTTCTATATTATAATTTATAAATATCATTTCTTATATTTAGCAAATAGTGCTAAATATAAAGGTTTTGATAAATGTTTAATGACACTGACTGTCATTACAGTATTCTACATGCTGTGGAGGATGCTAGCATGCTCAGGTTTGGATGCCAGCCCTCTATCTTGGCTTGTAGATGACTGCCTTCTTGCTGTGTCCTCACATGGTGTTGGAGGAAAGCATTATCCTCTTCTTCCAGATTCATTTAGCCTTAGTAATCTCCTCAAGACCCTGCGTCAGATATAGCCATCTTGGGGATTATAGTGCCCATATGAATTTTTGGAGGACATATTCAGTTTAGAGTACACAGTTTGTGTGTCTGTTTACATGTTGATATTGTGGTTGCTTCTGATTTTTGGCAGTTAGACATAAAGGTGCTCTAAACATCTGTGTGTGGGTTTTTGTGTTGATGTAAGTTTTCATATCATCTGGACTGATCCAAAGGAGCTCAATTACTGGATCATATTATAATTTGGTTTATAAGAAACCACCAAGCTTGTACCATTTTGTGTCTCCACCAGCAATGAGTGGATGTTTCTGTTTGATGGTGTTTGCTGTTGCCAGTACTTGGAGTTTAGCCATCTTAACAGGTGTGTGGTGGTCCTTGTTTTAATTTGCAGTTTTCTAATGTTACATGGTGTTGAGCATCTTTCCTGGCTAGTTTACAATCTTAACTTTCCTCTGCTTTCTTCCTCTCTCCCTCTTGCTTGAACTGTTCAAAAGTCTCTCTCTCTCTCTCTCTCTCTCTCTCTCTCTCTCTCTCTCTCTCTCTCTCTTTCTCTTCCTTCCTTCCTTTTTTTTTTTTTTTAAGCCACTTGAGATGTGTGTCAAGATGAGAAGCTTCCTGCTGCTGCGGTTTCTCTCATGTCTTTAGTATCTTCTTTGAAGCTTCTCTTCTTTCCTTTTCTTGTACTAACCAAAGGGTGACACTCCGCTGATGACACAGCTTTCCCCAAAGTTCTGGTGAAAGCCTTCTGCACCCGGCACCGCAGAATATAGTAGTTGTCTTTTTTTTTTTTTTGTCCTTCTCTGCCATTTCTAGGACATGTTCCTTTCCTCCACAAGCAATGTCTAGGTGTCAGTCTTATCTTGTCACAGTATGCAGTCTTCCACCTCTTCCTGTTGCAGAGACCTGCTGATTCATCACTTTCACTGGGAAATGTAGCTACTAACTTACTGGTGCTTTCTCTGACATTGCCTGCTAGGATTTTTGGCTATTTCAGTAGCTCGGCCAGTCCATTCCCTGCCTAATTCCTGATGATTGTTCACTAAAGCTTCTCTCTGAAGCCTCTGGCACCTCCTCTTTCATGCTCTGAATCAGAACTTCCAGTCCTTTCCTCATTTCCCCCACCACACACTTGCCTTCCCTCCATACAAGCTGAAGTTGGCTTCTTGTTCCTAGATTGAATCCGGCCTTCTCTGTGTGTTTCAGATCACTATGCTTTATTAAAAGTTGCTCAAGCTATTTTTCTGGTGCGTATAGCATTTCTCCCATCTCTTAGAAAAGAAACGTTTAGTGATTTCACTTCTCC